CTTTCCCTAGCAGAGGTCCGGCCCAGTGGAAGACCCATCAACACTGCCCGGGAGCCACCACTCACCCAAGCCTCAGGTATGTATAGTCCAGATCTTTGGGTCAAGACACAAGTTGCTTCCTTCACCTAGTTACCCAGAAACATGCACGTGAGTTACTGAGTAACCAATAGAAGGGCATGAAAACTATCTACAGAGTGAAATATATTTCTCCACCCACCTCCCAACCCCAGGCCGACTTCAGGAGGAAGTAAGCCTGAAGGGAGCTAAAATCTCATCTAGAAGAGAGAGCTAAGACCTTCTAAAAACACCTCATTGATTATTACAACCTCTCCTGGCACAGCACCAGCCAGTGTGTGGTCATACAGACACACAGAGCCAGGTCCTGCCCAGGGAGCTTCCTGGAAATGCTTGCATTTTGAGACAAGTATTGATTCTTTCAAAGTGTGATGTCCAGAACTGGATACAGAACTATAGGTGTGCTTGACCAATGCAAAATTATTGTATACTTTCATATCCTTTTTTGAACCCTATAATTTTATTAGTATGTGCGTTATACCAGGAAGAAGATGAGATTTGATGTCAAACTCAGTTTGAATTCTATTTTGGTCATTGACCAGCTATGTCCTTGGGAAAATGAGCTTTACTTCTTGAGTTTCAGTTTACCTTTTGGTAATATAGAGATTAAAACACTTGCCTTAGAGAATTATTTTAAGAAATAAATAACAATTTTAGTAGCTTTGTGTCTGACATCATGTGATAATACAGTCTGCAACATTAGATCATTTAACCCCCACAAGAATGCTGATGAGGTAGGTAGGATGGCCCCCATTTACAGAACTACAGGTGTGGACTGCAGGGGAGGAAGTTAAGGCTCCTGCACTTGAATGAATAACTGATACATTACAGCCAAGGTGAGAATACTGATCGGTCTTATTTCATTAGCCCATGTCCTATCTGCCACATGATGCTGACTTATTGGTTTTCTCTTCTCTTTTTCCCTTTCTCTACCTTTTCAACCTCTTCCCTTTTTTTCTCTTTTCTTCTTTCTCTTTCTCTCTCTTCTTTCTAGTTCCCTCTCCCTCTCCCTTTCTTATTTGCTCTCACTTTTTTTTCTTATCCACCTCCTTGCTTTTCCCTCCCTCCATCCACCCTGAGACACAAGAAGATCACAAGAAGGCCAGAACAATCCACCATGCTCCCCCATATTAGAGGTTCTGGAAAATAATCTCAGTGACTGAACTGGCATCAGTCCTCAGGTGGCCTCAATTTAACCAACGCACATGAAATTCCCTCTCACCTCCGTTTCTCAATTCCTCTAGTTCCTGGAGATGTTTTTGCCAAGAATTCCCTATGGAAAGGGGCCTATGAGTACCAGGGGAAGAAGCAGCCAGCCATGCTCAGAGTGACTGGCTTCCAGGTTGTCAACAGCAAGGTCAATGCCACCATGATTGACCATAGTGGCGTGGAGTTGCACTTGGCTGGTAAGGAACAGGCCACTTCTATGAAAGCTGGAGGCAATTGTGGGGGTGGTTAGAATGGATGGGTACCTGCCCTTTGCCAGGATGAGTCTACTGTCACTGCACTGTACTGTCTTATGAGGCTCAGACTTGTCTGGTGGGCAGAGGGAAGAGGAAGTGCCTGCTTCTCTTTGTTTATATGGTAAACGTGCCAGGGACTAAAGGGAAATGGCTAGATGACAAATGTGAAGAACTTGAACATACAAAGGACTCTGAAAAATGAAAAGAGACTTCTATCCCTAAAACCAAACTAAAAACAGAGTTAGAGAACTCAGAAGCCAAAGTACAGGCGGTCAACAAACAAGAGAAACATATTTTTATCAGTAGTCAGCAAAAATCAAGATAAACACAAAATGTCATTTTCCACTTTCCCAGCAAGATTTTTTTTTTAAGTGATGAACTTAAGTGCTGGTCAAGGTCCAGTGAAGGCATCGATGCAGCTCTGGTCAGAGTAGAAAATAGTACAGTTCTAGGAAACAATTCAGCAACTTGTATCAAGATCCTTTGAAAATAATTAGACTCATTAATTACACTTCTAAGACTTTTTATCATAAGAAATAATTATGGAGGGGGCCAAATATTTATAATTAAAGAAAGCTCACATTACAGGGCTATTTATATTACATAAAAACTGGAAGTAGAAAATTGTCTAAAAACATAGAAATGGATATATTAATTATAGTATATCTGCCGGATAAAGTACGATGCCAATTTTGGAAGAAATACACTCACTGTAATGTAATGCATTTAAAACATGACTCTAGTTTTTAAAAGAAAAATTATATTCGTAAGAAAGGAAATTGCAGGTAATTACACAAAAATGTTAACGATGGATATTTCTTAAAGAGACTTCTATCCCTAAAACCAAACTAAAAACAGAGTTAGAGAACTCAGAAGCCAAAGTACAGGCGGTCAACAAACAAGAGAAACATTTTTATCAGTAGTCAGCAAAAATCAAGATAAACACAAAATGTGAGATCGGGAGTGATTTTTTTTTTCTTCGTTCATCTCTGCATTTTCCAAAATTTCCCCAATTTTCAGTCTTTCTATAATCAGAAAAACTAAGTATCATAGAAAACAAGTATTTATTGAATAGATAGATAAATAAATGAATGTGTGAGTGAACGAACGTACACATTAACACACAGCCTCACATACAGTCATATCTACTCATTCGTATACACACACACAAGCACAACGTAATGTTCAGCTCACTCATTCACCCTAAGACATTCACTTACTCCTGTGTACATCCCTCATGCAGTCCTGTACCCACTAAATTATAAGTATGTCCATGCATTAACCGACACATTGACATGTACAAAACCATATCCGCTTTACTCTTACATACGCATGTGTAACCAGGGTCACAGTCACAGATTAACACAGATGCACATTCCTGCATAGACACAGAGTCAGCCTACACAAACTCACCAGCAGCACTAGACCTGCCTGCTTACGGTTATGCATGGAGTGTTTATGTCAACATCTACACGTGAAATTCCACGTGAGCACTCACTCTCACATACCCACAAATTTAGGTTTTAAAATTTCCCCAGCTCTTTCAAGTGTGCCCTCTGAACTTTCTCTTTCCAGGAATTTACAAGAAAGAAGATTTCCATCTCCTGCTCCAGGTTTATCAGATCACAGGGCCTGTGGAGGTCTTCGTGAATAAGTTCAAAGACGATCACTGGGCTTTAGATGGACATGTAAGTTCAGCAAAATCTAGCTCAGTCCTTGACCTCTCCATGGCCTTGCCCCATCCCCATTCCCAGATCACTGGCAGGGAAAAGGAGAGAAGAAGAGGGTGGAAACTCCTAGGATCCACATGGAAACTTGGGAGGATTTTGTCTATAGGGCCAGGACTGGGAGCAAAGGAGTCATCTGCTGGTGAAGTGAGCAAAGGAAAAGATAGAAAGAGCTGGGAGGCCCAGATTCTAGGTCAGCGCATCTGAGCAAGAGGGAGTAGGTTCTGATGTTAGAGCCAAAGGCAAAGAATTGGAAGTCAGCAGTGAACGAGTGAATTCAAGCAAGTTGAAGGTCGTGGTTTGTTTGGTGGTAGGAGCAGGGTGAAGGTAGTGAGTTCCAGACGACAACTTTGAACATCTACTCACATTTGAGGAAGTGGATTGTGGGTGATTCAGCACAGCTCGGGAGACCAGGACATGGGAGAAAGAATACAACTTCCTTACATTCCCTTGCGAGAAAGACGTGTTACATTCTAGGGCATCCTTGAATTGGAAACAGGGTCCCCAGTGATGCTTCTCTGCCCATACCTTCTGATTTCATAGGTAGCGAAGTTGAGCATAGTGTCACCTATCGTATCCTCAGCTTCCTTGTCTTGGATTGCTGAAGCTAGAAGAGAAAAATGGAAAAGAGGAAGAAGTCATGGTGGCTGGAGTAGCAGAGAACTAAGGAGTCAGGATGCATCCTCCTGGATAAGACCAGCTGGTGGAGGACTGTGGTTTTAGTGACTTTGCTGTATAAATACACAAAGAGAAGCAAGTGGCTTCTACAAGGGCTGGCACAGACAGTTAGTTCCTTGGTATTCTCTAGAGCAGCAGTCCCCAACCTTTTTGGCACCAAGGACCAGTGCTCCTATGAGAATCTAATGCCCGATGATCTGAGAGGGAGCTGAGGCGGTGATGCTAGAGCTGGGGAGCGGCTGCAAATGCTGATGAAGCTTCACTGGCTCGCCTGCCACTCACCTCCAGCTGTGTGGCCTGGTTCCTAACAGGCCATGACTGATACCAGTCCGTGGCCCGGGGGTTGAGGACTCCTGTTCTAGAGTATCATATGGACCCCTCAGGTATCCAAGTCCTGGCTGGCTTTGATAGTAGTAGTGCAAAAGCTTGCAAGTATAACAGATTCTACCATGCTGGGAGGACTGCCAGATGTGAGAGAACAAGCGTCAAATTTGGGAGATGGAGCTAGGAGTGCAGACCAGGGGCTAGAGGAGAATGGAGCTCTGGAGGACCAGGAGCAGCTGGAGCAACAGCCTCTGATGACAGCCAACCATCAGGCCCACCCAGGGTGTGTTTGAAGGGATGCAGGGAGGTCATTCCCAGAGCACTATAGACAGGTCTCCACCCCGCAGATGGAGCATGAGTTGGAAGGTACAGCAGTAGCACAAGCATCCTCAGAGCATGTTCTCAGCTGAGCAGTCTACAACCTGCATGTTTGAGTGTCTGTGTCTGTACCACGAGCATCATGGAAGCAAGTGGCAGAGGAAGCAAGGAGGAGTTATGTCCCCAGCTACCCACCCCCTAAAGAAAATTAATAGCTATTAGAACTGCGAACGAACTCTCCAAAGTGCATTAAATCCACTAGGTACATTTTAATCATACTTTGGTTTGTTCTGTGGTGCTCTAAAAGTCAGTTTTTCATCAGAGTAATAATAGCTGACACTTATCTAGGGCCTCTTAAGTGTTCCGTTTTATCTATATTATCTCATTTCAGATTCACAGCAACCCTAAGACATAGGTACCATTATTATTCTTGTTTTACAAATGAGAAACTGAGGCACAGATGGATTAAGTGATTTGACCAGTAGGAAATAAAGTTGTCTCCCTGCCTCCTACAAGTAGGTGGTGCCCCTGCCCCGACCCCAGCATGTCAGGGCTGTGAGCAGGCAGGTGGAACCAGCGTGTCTGGCAACACATACCTATGAGTGTGCTTCTGGCCTGGCTGGCAGGACTTCCGGCTCCTCCTAGCATGCCTCCCTCCCTACTCTCTCTGCTCTCCACCATCACAGGTCTCCTCGGAGTCCTCCGGAGGCACCTTCATCTACCAAGGCTCCGTCAAGGGCCACGGCTTTGGGCAGTTCGGCTTTCAAAGACTTGGTAACTAGGATTTGTCCCCCGCAAGTGTGAGCTCTTGGGGGTGGAGGAGAAACCTGTATAATGGAGTGGAGGGCAGGGGGTCAGTGAAGTTCAACGGTCAAAGGTGGGGGTTCTGAACCTTTTTCTGGATCAGGGACACCTTTGAAATTCTGATAAAAGTTAAGGAAGGTCCCTCCAGAAATAAGCACACTATATAATGCACTCAACCTTTGCCAGGTTCACACTCAGCCCTGGAGTGGAGAGCCTCAGCTTAGGGGACGGTGGGTCTCAGATACAGCCCCCCACAGCACTATCCAGCCAGCTCCCAGGTATCACCCAGACATCCCGGGGCATTAAGACATGGGCTCTCAGGGGTGCCCCGATCTTTCCTCTCCGCACATCCTGGAGGCTGGTATTACGGTCCTCGTCCTCACTGTACAGACGAGGAAACTGAGCATCAGGGAGGCTGCCCTCACTCGCTCTTCCCAGCATCTTTTCCCTGAATGCTTCACATCATCAGTGCCCAGCGTCCCCACTCCACAGATTGGCCTTGACCCTGAGCCTCTGGGTGCCAAGCCTCAGGCTCTAATGGAGGAAGGGTCCTGTTTTCTTGGAAGCAGTGCACAGGGATACAAGAGGCAGTCATGGTGCTTGAGAGCCAGCTCTGTGTACCCCGGTGCTGACATCGCCAGTCTCCAGGGGCCCCTGCCTGCCAAGGCATTACGTTTTGTCGCAGCTCTGACCTTCATAAAGCTTCTTGTCTTAAGCAGAAATCCTCTGCCCTGTCAGGCCCACTCCTGCCCACTCTTCCCCCAGAGCCCTTCTCAGCTCTGCCCTCGTGAGCTGTACACAGTAAGACCCTCTTCCATGCAGCAGCCCTCCAAAGACTTGAAGACAGTTCCCCTGGCCCTTCAGCCTAAAACACGGGAGAGACCTCAGGGACCCTAAGTTCTCATGCTGGCTTCACAGCTGACTCCCTGTCTCCTGAGGCAGACTCTCCCCTCTCTGAGCCTTGTGCGGGGAGAGGCAAGCAAAGGAGGGCAGCCCCTCCAGAGGCAGAAGCTTTAGTGCGCCCCCTCCCACCTCCACCAGAGCAGGTGCACATTCATCCATTTTATGTTTCGACTTTCTTGTAAAGTTTCATCCGATAAAAGCTTTCTATGGCCAAAAGAAGTTTTGAAACTTCTAAAGGACTGCGTACTTTTAAGAATTATCCTGCGACAGTTTCATGTTCTCTGGCAGATTGGCTTCCCCAGGACTGAGCACTGACCTGTGGACGTGATCTGACCAGTATACATGGGCCCCTTCTTCCGGGGAGTGTCTGAGTGTGTGTGGAAGGCAGGTGGGTGGGCTGCGGGCACAGAGGCCTCTCCCAGCTGCTCCGGAGAAAGTGACATCCCAAGCCGCAGCCACAGTTCCCAACAGTGACAGCTGGGGGCTGTACCTTCAGACTGTGTCTCAGTGACCTGAGGTTTATGCTTTGGGACTTGCAGACCTCAGGCTGCTGGAGTCAGACCCCGAGTCCATTGGCCGCCACTTCGCTTCCAACAGCAGCTCGGTGGCAGCCGCAATCCTGGTGCCTTTCATCGCCCTCATCATCGCAGGCTTTGTGCTCTATCTCTACAAGCACAGGTACCGTGAAGGAAGGGGAAACGGGGCCTGGGAGGGTGACAAGACGGATGCCAGGCCCTGTCCCCTACTCTAACCCACCCAGATCCCTCCTGGCTCAGGAGAGCTGTAACCTTCTGAAAGGAAGAAAGAACCTCCCTCTCCCTCTGCCCCTGCAGACTCCTGAGTCTCCTCTATGTCTCAGTCGCTCTCTCTTAACCCCAGGAGAAGACCCAAAGTTCCATTCAATGGTTACGCTGGCCACGAGAACACAAACGTTCGGGCCACATTCGAGAACCCAATGTACGACCGCAACATCCAGCCCACAGACATCATGGCCACCGAGGCAGAGTTCACAGTCAGCACGGTGTGTACAGCGGTATAGCCACCAGGCCTGGCTGCCGCCACCACCGCCACCGAGAGCCCCGCCTCCAGCAGCCGGTGAGAAGGGTGTATGGGAGGCGGACGTGGACCTGTGCACGCATGTTTTTAACATGCCAGATTGTTCTGAGGTTTCATCTTTATGCACCCTCTTTACTTTTCCTTATCTTTTTCTACTCAGAACTCTTATAATAAGAGAGCAGAACAGAAAAAGTAAAATCTCTGACAGCATAAATCGGGCTTTATAGGTGATCAGTAATGACTCTGAACTTGAAGTTGCAGAAAAATTGAATAGTACAGGAGAGAAACAAGAATGCCCCATGGCCTACACACACACCCACCCCACCCCAGGTTTGGGGCTCCCCTGGGTCCCAGGTACCTGTGTGCATGATGTCCCAGCTCTGCGTCATCTGGAGTTGGTGGCTCCCGAGAGAGGCAGCTCTCAGCGTTGCCCCTCACCAGCATCTAGGGCCTTGGAACCTGCCACCTGGCCCACAGGGACCCTCTGACCACCTCCAACCTGCCCAGCTCTGGAGCACAGAGAGGGTGCTGCTTGGCCCAGGAAGTGAGTACGTAAAAACCACCTTCAGCAGACACACGTACATTTAAAACGAGTGATGAGGTGATCACTTCAAATGATGCCTAACAAGAACAGCTGAAATTAAAATAAAAACGCCACGTAAGGAAGTCATCGAGGCCGGTGGGATTCGTGAGTAAGGCGCAAGGGGGCAGGGCTGCGTTGACTTTCATGGACCCCTTCCTCCATTAAAATATATATATGAAAAGTAATACTTTAAAACTGTCATTATAAAGATGAATATAATTCAGTCTGGATTCATTATTACATGTCCAATATTTTTTTTTTTTCTGAAAGAAACTAAAATTAAAACATTTTCCTAGACTCCTAAAAGCGTGGTGGCCTCTAGGCCCTGGGTCTCTAACCAGGGAAAAAGACAACATCAGGAAAATATATGTGTTGCTGCATGTAAGGAGGGATCCCTCAGTTTAGGAAGATTAAAACTCGAAGATGAGGATCAAAGCAACTCTTTAATTCTTTCCCCCCTTTATTTCTTCTTCGCTTTCCTGTTGCTTTTTTTTTTGCTCCCCTCCGGACCCCGCCCACTGCCTTTCTTGTTTGACAAACGCTGGTGTGATCTGTCTGTTCCCAGTTCTCCAGGGGACAGGAAGTACGCTACCCTGAGCGCAGTGCCCAGTGCCCATCTTCGTCTGTCCCTCTGCCCGTGTCTGCTACTGCTGGGACTTGGGCCCTCGCCCTGCCGCCATCTGCACCCACCCACCTGGAGAGGACTCCCACTGTGCTCTGCCTTGGGGCAGTCAAGAAAGAGGGGCTGCAGACCGAGGAAGGAAGCTTATGGATTTAAAATAACAGAGCACCTCGTGGATGTGTGTGTGTGTCTATGGGCCAGAGCGTGTATGCCCATGCGCACACACACATACACACACACACACACACACACACACACCTCTTCTTCATTCAATTCTAAGGAAGAGACTATAGAAGCTTAAAAAAAAGAAATGGATGTGAAAGATGCCCTATTCCCTGCTCCCCACAAACACAAAGAAGAGGTGAAGAGGAGGAGGCACCAACAGCACTGCAGCCAACACGCCCCACTCTGTTCTGTTTGTCAGGATTCAGTGAATGATGCATCTGAGGTGGTCAGTATGCAGACACCAGCCCTCCGCAAATGAATGGTCCCATCTGCAGAATGACAGCAAAGATTACCCAACGGCAGAAAAATATCTTCAGAAATAGATTGGAAACCAGTTTATTTTTTTCCAACATAATTTTATTGCATTTTAAACCCAGTGAATTAAAAAGTCATTCTGGGCCTCAGGCAGCACCGGAAAAAAAGGACGGATAAGAGGAGTTAAAGGCAGGAATTTGGCCAGGAGCCCAAGGTCAAGTCTGTCAGTCAACTGACGAAAACGAGAAACAAGTCTGTGGGCCAGACAGGGCCACCAAGTCTGCAGGCATCGGGAGGTGCTGGAAAGGATAGGGGAACAAGTCTACCCCAGTGTCCAAAAAATAATGGCTGTATATATCAAGTTTCTTTTTCTCTGTGCCTGACACTGTAGCTGTATCATTTCTAGACCTGCAGTACCCCAAAACATAAGAATTATTATTCCAATTTTATAGATGAGAAAACAGAAGCCCAGAAAGGTGAAGAGATGTAAGCCACAGTTAGTAAGTGTGGGGTCAGGATGCAAACCCAGATGGCTCTGACTCCAGAGTCCACTCCCTGGGTGCCAGAAACCCAGGTCTACAAGGGACACCAAAGCTGGAGAGCAGTAGGTGCATCTCTACAGTAGAACTGTGGCCAGGGCTGGTGGGCCAAGCAGGGGATACATATGTCCTCTCTGGGTTCTGTTCTTTCTACCTGGGGAATATCAGGGCAAGGACCCAGTACCTGGCTCCTGGAGCTGGTGCTGGCCCCTTGGGTCCCAACAGCCCCTCGCCACAGCAGACAAAGGACCTGGGAGCTCCTGGATCAAAAAAAGGGAGTGGATGAAAGTCACATTCTCTCCAGCTCCCTGCAAGTGGATTTATTTTGAGTTTCATTATGCTTGGGTCGTTAATGAATTCTACATAAGTATTGTGGGAAGCTAACAAGTTTAAGAATTAAGCTATGACATTTAGAACCCCTTTCTCTATCCTTGGGAAGGTCCCCATGGGCTTAAGCACATGTACATGTATGACATGCTGGCCTCTGATGTTCATATCACATGTTGAAATGACAAATAGAAATGCATGGGCCTTAAATGGCAGGGACACCTGGTTCTTAGGCAAATTCTGGCTTGGAACAATGCCGTGGGGACTGGCAAAGACAGGGACCTAGCACAGCCCATCACTGCTCTGGGTCACAGCATCCCTGGAAACAAATGCAGGGAGCTCTCTGGCTGCTCCCATCCCCCTTCTTATAATCCTCTCAAACCAACCAGTGGACTCCTTCTCCAGCCCTGCCTCTGCCCATCTCCTGTGTCCCCTTGTGAAGTCCCAGGAGACGCCCCAGGAGCACATGCTGGTGCAGCACCCAGCACTCTGCCGTGCGTCGTCCTTCCCACCTCTGGCATTTTTCTCTCCACCTCCAGAGGTTTGGAAGGGACCAGGGCAGACTGGGCCCTTCACCCACCATTCATACCACATACCCATCACCATCCCATAAGGGGAAAAAAAAAGTAAAAAACAAAAAAATCTTTTGTACAGAGATATATTTTTATTATACAAAGTTTGTACAGTACCAAAAAGAAAGGAAAAAAAAAGGTGTAAATTTTTTTTCATTATCGTAGGTAAACGGTAGTGGAAGCCTTTTTTGTAAATGTAATAAAATGTATAAATATGGTTTTCAGAAGACATCAAGTGCTGTAAATATGTAATCTACACATCTTCTTGGCTTGTCTGCAGTATATACATTTAATTTATCTGTCTCTGTATATGAGGCTTCCCCCTGGGGTCCTGCATTATGGTACTTTCCTGAATTTGAGAGCAATTTTAAATTTTTTGAATTCAAATAAAATATAAATTTTTGCATTTGTTTTCTTACATTTTTATGTCCTTTTTTATGGCAAGGGACGAGTGTTTGTTGGGGAAAGGGAGGAAAGACATATTTTGGGCTAAAAGCCATCAGTGGAAATGTAGAAATCTCTTAAACTGTTTTGTGTTGCCTCTGCTGTATGTTGGGAACTCCCAGCAAAAATAATAGTGGAAGCACCATATACAAAAATTAACTCTAAGTGGATCAACTACCTAAACATAAGACCTAACACTATAAAACTCTTACAAGAAAACACAAGAGAAAAGCTTTATGACATTAGATCTGGCAATGATTTATTGGATATGACACCAAAAGTACAAGCAAGAAAAAGAAATATAGGTAAATTAGAAGTCATTCAAAATTTAAAACTTCTGTGCATCAAAGGACACAGCAGTGAAAAGGCAACCTATGGAATGGGAGAAAATATTTCCAAATAATATCTAACAAAAGATTAATATCCAGAATAGATAAGAACTCCTATAACTCAACAGCAAAAAACAACCCTGTTAAAAAGTAGGCAAAGGACTTGAACAAACATTTCTTCAAAGAAGATATACAAATGGCCAATGAGCACAATGAGAAATGCTCAGCATCAATAATCATTAAGGAAATTCAAATCAAAACCACAGGGAGATAACCTCTCATACCCATTAGAATAGTTACTATCAAAAAAAAGTGTTTGTAAAAATATAGAGAAATTGTAATCCTTGTGCACTGTTGGTGGGAATATAAAATGGTGTGGCCACTATGGAAAACAGGATGAAGGTTCCTCAAAAAATTAAAAATAGAATTTTATATATATGATCTAACAATTCCTCTTCAGAGTATCCAAAAGAAGTGAAAGCAGTGAAAGCAAAGAGATATCTGCACACCCATGTTCATAGCATTACTTACAATAGCCAAGAAGTAGAAGCAGCCCAAATGTCAATTGATGGATGGATAAACAAAATGTGGTATATACATAAATGCAATATTATTCAGTCTTAAAAAAGGAAGAAAATTCTGATGCATGCTGCAACATGGATGAACTTTGAGAACATTATATTAAGTGAAATAAACCATTTGCAACAGAAAAATATTAGACGATTCCACTTATATGAAGTATCTAGAGTAGTCACACTCACAGAAACAAAAAGTAAAACGGTAATATGACAGATCTGAAAACATCGCCATTATATCATTAAACATAATTAGGTTTAATTCAGCTTTTAAAAGCAAAAGATTTTCAGCTTAGCTCACAAAGTAGAACTTAACCCTGCGCTGAGTTTAGGAATGCAAGAGGCGTACCTAAAACAAAATGATTCAAAACAGCTAAAAAAGGAATAGGCATATGTTCTGCATAATTCAAGACATTTATACATCCTGGAAAACAAGACCTTTAGCAGGGGAGGGGAGTGGAGGGGATCTCTCATACTCATACATTGGGGCCAGATATGGCCATGTTGGGGGTCCCAGGGCCAAGTGGACAGACTATTACCAAATGCATGGCTTGGAGCTAAGGTAAAGAAACTTAGTAGCTACATTCATTGTTGTTAGTTTTCCAAAGGGAAGAATCATAAACAACAGAGGAATAGGCAAAAGAGCAGCAGGTGTATGCAAACAAGAAACTAGGGATCACCATCTCGGTATCAGACAAGTGCAAATTTAGGCCCAAAGCCATTAAGCAAGACAAAGAAGGGCACTTTATAACATTACAACAGTAATTACCTAGTCACCAAATAAGAAGCAGCCACTTTCATAAAGCAGAAACTAGGAGATACAAAGAGAAATAGAAACACACCAATAATAGGAGCTTGAACTCGCCACTCAGTCCACAATGTCAAAGTAACAAAAAACAATTAAGATTGTAGAAGACCTAAACAAAACAATCATAAGGAAGTTTTTATGAATATATGTCAAATGCTGCAACCCAATGTTAGATAATATATTTCCTTTCGAAGCAGACATGACACATTCATGCAAATATTCCTCCTATGTAAAGAACTCTTAAAAAAGTGGGGGAAAAAAGACTAAAAGTGTCATAAGCAAATAGTCCAAAACTATGAAAAGAAAGATATGCAAAGACTCTTAAATATATGAAAAGGTACTCAGTTTCACTCCTCGGTGATACCATTTTTTACTTATTATATCAGCATAAATGTAAAACCTAGACAACACACTGTTGACAAAGATGTGGGGGAAACTGGCATTCTCAGGTACTGCTGGCCCAACTCTCATGGAGGAGACTATGACAATATATAACAAAATTATTTACCATTGACCCAGTAATCCCACCTGTAGGAATTTTTCTGAAGATATACTTCCTCAAACATGAAATAACGTATGAACTAGGTTATTCACAGCAGCTTTATTTATAAAAGCAAAAGACTGGAAACCACTTCAGTGTATATCAATAGAAGACATGTAAACTAGAGTAAATGTATGCAATAAAATATTATACGGCTGTTAAAAAAAAAAAGCAATGAGGAAGCTCCCAAGAGCAAATGTGGAGTAATTCTCAAGATAAACTATATGAAAAACACTATGTGGAGAAGTGTATGTTTCTGGATTCTTTGTATAATAAAGAAGGGGACTAAATTTATTTCATTCAAAGCAAAATGAAATAAATACACTTTATGGAGTTAGAATAATCACAAGAGAGGAACTATTATAAATGATTTTCAAAATATAGTAATTTAACTGTATATCCCTAGCAGGATACAACTAAAGACAAAAAGAAATGCAAAAGTTAACTGCTTTCAGAAATCATATTGATAGTGATAAGTTGACACTTTATTCGGATACTGTTTTGTGTATTTTGAGAAAAAGCATATGAATTATTTTGTTAGTGTCATTGGGAACCTGGATTTTTCTCAAAGAAGAAAGATTTATGTATTAGATGAAGTTAAGTCCTGAACTTGAATTGGAAATATCGCTATGATCTTATGATGTATTCTATCTTTAAAATACGTGTACATGTATATGCATGTACATACATATGTATGTATTTTCTAGCTCTGTCTACTGAAAAGGCCTAGAGATAATGAAAAATCCAATTGCACTGAGCATGATAAATCCCCAGATTGAGGTTTCTAAAAATTATTTTTTCAATGGAAGGAACCAAAGCTCTTTGGAGAAATAGCTGATTCCAGGTCTGGGGCAGGAAATATATAAAATAAACATGGAAAACAAGAAAGCTGTCAAAGACTATTTGTTTCATGTCAAAAGAAGTCAAGAGCCAACTTCAAAAGGCTCTCACTGGACAAAATATGGGACAATTTGAGCATCAATGGTAATAATAATAATAATAAAGGCAATGAGAGGGAATGATAAATATGTTTGAATCCATGAGTTCATAGTAACATTTTTAAAAAACTTATTGGTAATCTATGTATGCTGCTAAGAATCACCTCATTATTTTGATAATCAGTGAATACGAGGCAAGGAAGCAAGCATTTATCCTGCTTTTGATATATGAAATGTATTTCAGAGTAACCAAATAGTTAAGGAGGGGACTTTTCTCTTGATAGAAATATTCTAGCTAGTAAATGAAAAGAGAAAGAATTGAAGTATCACCATTTTAAACCCCCATGAAAATAAATCCTGCCAATGATCATTAATGACTGCTAATATCATAAAAAGAGTCAACCCGACATGCGTGACTTCTGATGGTAGTACACAACACACCTATGAAATAGTCCTGTAAAAAACATCTAATCTGAATCCGATCAAACCTCTTAGTCTAAATGCCAATTTATAGGTAATAAAGATGACAGAGAAACTGTTCCGATGATATCATAGGGGTGCAACTGACAATACACAGACTCTGGAAAACTCCTCAGCAAAAATGACCTAATCCTAAATCTGCTGGCATCATATGACCTTATCTGAATCCTGACTCCATCAAATTGTTCTTAAATTTTTGAGACAATCCATAAAATATGAACATTAATGAATATATTAATAAATAATTTTTAAATTTTAGGTGTGATAAGGGTATTATGGATATGTTTATTGTCAAAGGCACATTATCTTTTGGATATATACACTGAGGTTTTTATGGATGGAATGATATGGTGTTTTGGATTTACTTCCAAGTGATCTCTAGAAGAAGTGAGTAACAATATACATAAAACAAGAACAGCCATGAGTTGATAATTATTGAAGCTGGACACCTATTATACTTTCTACTTTTGTATGTTTAACATTTTTTTTATAACAAGAATCTTTTGTAAAAAAGGAAGGCAAATAATTTATATACATATTTGCTTTTCTTGCAAAAAATGCAGAAAGTATTAACTATCATCACCTCTGAGAATGGGGTGAAAGGATAGGAATGGGAGCAAAAACCTTGAGTATATCTCTTTTTATAGAATTTTTAACTTTTATACCTTATAAATTTTTATATTCAAATATTTAAAAATTGAAAGGTTTTTTCAAATCCTTAAATCGAATACAAACAGCAACGAATGACCTAAAACTTTATCAAAATGATAGCAACCAGCACAGAGAGAAAATAACTACTTTAAGTCACTTTTGAACACACAACTCTGACTTAGTGATATCTAGTCTAATGATAAGTACTGCAAAGAAATCTTAAATGTTACTTAGTTTATTGTTAATAGTAATATTGGTATCGTAATTTTGAAGTAATTTTATGTATATGATAAAACAGTTCAATGTTAATGTTAATTAACACCAAAATGTTATCCGTAAAAGAGATATAAATATACAATAAAATAGGTTAATAAAAATCACGTATTAAATTTGAGTTAGAAATATTAACATGAATTCATGAAATTTAAAATACATATTTATTTCCTAAAACCATCCATTGAAAGTGTCCAAAAGCAATGATACCCAAGTAGCAAAGCAACGATCACAATAAACATCCAGCTCTTAGTTTTTTTTCCCTCTTTTTTTTCTAAGCTATGGGAATATAACCCCAAATAACTTTTCTTTCACTTTTTTTAATTAAGATATAATTGACATGTAACATTATATATTAGTTTCAGGT